ATGAAACACCTGTTCTAATAAGGTCTACGAAGTTAAGCAAAGTCGAGCCTGGTCAGTACTTAGATGAGGGACCGCTTGGGGATATCACGTGCTGTAAGCTTGGATGTGAAGTGGATATAATAGATAATGGCTAATAATTATTATTAGTATCTAAAAAAAACTTCTTACAATCTAAAAATATTTTCGGGCTTTAAATAACCCACAAAACGATTGTAAATCTACATACATATATATATAGAGAGAAAGGCCCGTTCGGTTAGCAAGGTCGAATTTACTGTATTTAAACTTCAATCTTCTATTAATCTCTCACGTACATTCATATCTGCTCATGGCGTATCAAATGTAAACAAATGACGTCACACATTATGAAATGGACAAAGTCTGACAATTATTTTTCAAGACATTTTATGTTTATACATTCTTTTTATAGATACAAATATTCAAGTAAATGTTCTGTTTATAATAATTCATTATAAACCGAACTTGCCTCTGTGGCGAAATCGGTAAAGGCACGTCAAGTTAAATGACGGTTTCGTATAGGATGCAGGTTCGAATCCTGTCGGAGGACGAATATTTTCTATGAAAATCTCTCGGACATTCAGGCCGGTAAATGTTGTTTAATATTGTTTAATATAAACAGAGTATTTACTTAAATATTTGTATCTATAAAAAGAATGTATAAACATAAAATGTCTTAAAATAATTGTCGGACTTTGTCCATTTCATAATATATATATATATATATATTATGAAATGGACAAAGGATTGAGGAATCGGAGAGCTGAGTTCGAATACATTACATTCACTTACGTGCTAATACCTTTGGAAAAGGTGCGAATCCTCTTCTTCTCCCTCCAGCTACGAGTAAATAGCAGGACAGACTGGGTTCTATAGCCTTGGATGACAACTGGTTTAGGAGAAGGACGACTCTGAATTTAAAACCTGCGGAGGGACGTTTGGGGACCCTGTGTCACGTAGTGCACCTGGTCTCTGTAATCGGCCCTTCAAAAAGTGTGGATGGTCCTGCACGAAACCTTCACCACTATAATCAAGTCTCATGTGCTGTTGTCGGACAGTCAGTTTCCTAGAACTGATCTGCTTGACCCTCATACATTGAATTCGACGGATTTTATACAACTCGTCTCAAAATGTAAATATTTGAGATTAATAATGCTTTTTTATTGATAGAGTCAGTTCTATATTTACGGGTGGGGGAAGAAATAACCTAAACGTCAGTTCAAGTTTTACAGAGAGAAACTCTAAAGATAGAAAAGCGCTTAGTTTAGGATAAAATAAATTAAAAACAGAAATAAAGACAAACATGAGAGAATACCGAATGCGTTCGGATATGGGCATATCGAAAAATTTACAGCAAATACATTTGCGGAAGGTATATATATCACTAACTTCTCATTTATGATTTAAATAACTGGATGGAGGGGATCTCTAGCCTTGGTTTAGCAACCAGTCTAGGAAGTCTGTTTTGTTTATATATATTCGTGACGTCCTGGGTATGACGATAAACTACATCCGCGTCCTGGGTAACACGATAAACTACGTCCAACAGCAAGGCCTCTGATCAGGTTTTGAGGATCGTGAAACCACCTCTAAATTGTTGGTGTTCCCAGTTCCACCCTGACCTGGGGTAGTAGCACCTGTTAGGGTCCCAGCTATGGGTAAATAGTTAACCCCGAAACTGGGGTAAAAACACTATGATAGCGTAAAAATAGGTTTTAATATCAGAAATACTTTGTAAAAAATTATTACCAGCAATACATTTTTAGAGAAAAACATTACCAGCAATATATTTTTGAAGGAAAAATATTACCAGAAAAAGATTTTTGACAAAACAAAACATTACCAGCAAAAAAAAATGTCTGAATTAAATAACCCATTGAGGTTGATATGCCGTAAAACAAACCAAACAAAACCAAACCAAATATATATATATTCGTCATTCTTATGAGGTCGTACCAAGACTATTTTGATTTAAAAATGACGAATTACTGATATATATTTAGTATTTCACACTTAGAAATGAAATCCATTCGTTACTCTCAGCCATAACATCTCCCTTCCCTGCAACATTCTCACAATTTTGATGGTTGCGTTTATTTCCTCAAAAAGGAGATTTTAATTCAAAAATATTTCCAGATATCGAGATAATCAGCAGTTAACTGTCGGAAAAAAAATGGATGTTTTTTTTTACGCCTGACAAAATCGATCTTTTTTTTTTTCTACGAACCTATCAATCATGATCAGTTTGAACTAACTTTATCGTTGAAAAGATGGCGAGTTTCTCTCTGGTATCTGTGAAAAATATTCGATTTATTCAAAGCCATTTTCCTTTTCCCATCTCTTCCCCTCACACTGTCTATTGATCTATCTGTCTCGGTTTGTGCCAGTCCGCCTACTGCCTGTGTCTCAATTTCTACTTACTTGCTATTGGATGGACTTTATCTATCAATATTAACTTTCAGTTGTTTTTCATCGCTACTACTTGGACTCTCAGTATCCGGCCATTTACAAGCACGCAAATTTAAAGAATAAGATTCAGGTGAAATTCGAACTTAAATCTCTTTTATTAATCTCAATTACTTAATCTAGAGACAATTTGCATGAAATAATTTTTATTACATCTGCAGATGTTTTAATCCTTGAGGAAAAGAGGGACAGAAATAATCTAATCCATTCGTTACTTTTAATTTATTGATGGCTTAAAAGATCATCGAATAATAAAACTCAGGAATATAAGATTCTTGTGTCTGCAACCGGCCTGTTATTTCTGTCCGTCAATCTTTAACCTTTTCTATCTTATTCATTCTTTTATTTATTTATATCTATCTATCTGGGTAAAGTATTGAGTAGTATTATTTTAAAAGGTTTCTTTTCGACCTGCATTTGTTTTATAATCATATGCAGGGTAATCACCAATGACCCAGGACAATCGAAGCATGTAATATTTTGTTGTTTCCACTTAATTAAACAAAAGACAGCTATTAACAGAAAGCAATGGACAAAGCTCTTTGCAGGACATGCTTTGTACTTGTTGGAAATATTTCTTTGATTTTTAAGGAGATATAGTGCACTATTGATTTCGTTAATGTGTTCCTGAGTTCAATTCTTTATCTGACCCAAAGCTCCAACCACAAAAGAGATAGTTTTAGTTTTTAAATACATTTTTCGTTGTCGTCATTGTTGTTGTTGTAGATGTAGATATTGTATTTGTTTTTTCAAACTACAAATATTATTATTATTATTATCATTATTATTGTAGATGTTGTATTTGTCGTATTGTCTAGTCTTTTTTAGACTAACTTTCTCCCTTCTCCCCGTCTTTCGTACACTGTATATTTATATTTTCTCAAATCTCGTTGTTGCCGTGATTTTGTGTTAATTTGTCAGCATAAAAACAATATGGCTTCCCCACGAGATTCTTTTTACATACGGAAGTCCATGAGGTAAGTTTTTTTTTCTTTTTTCAAACTACAATTATTATTATTATTATTATATTTATTATTATTATTATTATTTCCTTTGATTTCAGTTTTATACACATTTCTTTCCGAGTCCCAATTAGTGATCTAAAGTAAGAAATGGCTTCATGACATTTTCCACTAATTATTTTTGTAAAAAAAAAATAAATAAATAAGATAACAAACACTTGACAAAGATACAAATCTTCGAAATGTGGAAGCTGTACTTGTGATCCCATTTTTTTTAATCTCTTTAAGGCATGGGCTCCCCACGACCCCTTTCATTAGTTTATCGGAACCTTTTCCAATCGATCCGAGGGCTCCAACTGCAAGTGGATTTATTGATCTCCTCATGTTTCACATTTTTGCCACATTAAGATCGTTGCACTTTAACTGTTTTTTTTTTTTTTTTGAATATCTTCAATGTGGAGGGACTACTATCTCAATAAAAAGCACATTCTGTTCTTGTGGTCATTCATCACGATGTCTGGACGATTAGCTTGAATTGTTCTGTGTGTATTGTAAAGTCCCATAAAATTGTTACATGTCTTATCCTTGTAACCAGCTCTGGGTGATGTTCATACCAGTTTGTTGCAGTTTCCCTCCTTTAAAATTTGCATAATGGATCTCTCATTCATGTCGAGATTTACATTCAGTGGTTGTCAGTGCCGTGCAACCTGATACAAGATGGCCAGTTGTTTCTGGATATTTATTATAGAATTTGCATTTCGAGTTAACACAATTGTTCAGTATGTTTGGTCATTTCTCTGGTCCTTTGCAGCAAGAATAAAACCTTTGGTTTCAGCTTGTAACCCTGCGCTACGTAACCAATGATGTGTACAGGGTTTGTCTCCATCAGCCTATTTGATACGAGCAGATTATTGACGATGAAGAGGCTTAACTTACCATCGTTTCTGCATTTGGTTCATTGCCTTTACTTTTGTTTTCTTTTTTAAGTACTTTGCCGCTTCTTTATTTGCTCTTCTTCACCAACTTGAAATTTCCTTTTGAATTTGTTGGCTTCTTTATTATTGAATAAAGATTCTTCTTTCTTTCAGGCTCTTTGATACAGATCATCATCCAGTTTTCTGTAGTTTTCCAGGTAGCTTTCAAGACCGATTTATATGGTTTTGTAAGATAGTTCTAGTTGAACTAATCCTCTGCCTCCTCTAGATCAACATCAGCTTTGGAATGATGCATCCATTCGCTCAATGTCACCCATGGCCTACTTAAGGATCTTGAAACTGTATTGTACCACATAGACAGTCAAAGTGTCTATGGCTGATATTCCGTTTTAGGAATTTAAGTCGGTATTTCATCCCATCTCCTTCGTTGACTCCTAGGTATTGTAGGCTTCTTGTTGTTCCAGTTCCATAACCTTTGCTACAAAATCTAGATCTATTGAGTATGCTTCGGCAATTCTCCCTTTCTTGAGTGATACTTTTGCACATTTATCTAATCCGAAGTACATACTGATGATATCGCCGAAATATTTTGCATATATTGTATGTAGGCGATGGAATACTTTAGTTTAGTTTGTATCCATAGCTATTATTGTTTAGTTCATGAGTAATGGGGAATAAGTACAGACAAAACAGAGCGGGTGACAAGGAGTCTCTTTG